ATGTTTTCTCTCATAAGAGAACTAAACAATATTTTTGATTTGGACATAACTGTATCTCCTCTGTCTCCACAGAGCCTGCTGATGTGAGGCTGGTGAATGGAAGCAGCCCTTGTTCTGGGAGAGTGGAGGTGTATCGCTGGGGCGAGTGGGGGACCGTTTATCAGCGTAACTGGGACATGAATGACGCCACGGTGGTGTGTAGACAGCTGGGCTGTGGCTCTGCTGTATCTGTACCAGGTGCAGCTCACTTTGGAGAAGGTTCTGGGCGGATGGTTCTAGGGGATGTTTCCTGCAGTGGGTCAGAGTCTGCGCTGAGGGAGTGTGGATCACTGGATGGCAGAGAGCATGACTTACCACACACACTGGATGCTGCTGTCATCTGCTCAGGTTTGACACATTATTACAACACCTGTCCTTAACAATGGATTCAATAAGGGAGCAGATTATATGATAAAAATCCATATTATATTCCTGTAATTTTTGTGGTCAGATTTTGTATTAAGAGGTGCCAAGTTTCACCCCACACTATCATTACTGACTAGGGCTATTAGCTTGTAAAATACTTATAACAAGAAGATATTAATATCTAGCTAAGCAGAAGCTCAAGGCCAAGTCAGTCAATAAGGACCATGAACCCCCAGCTACCCAAAGCCATCTAGCCAGCCAGCTGGTTACTACACACAAATGGAACTAATCTAGATTAGAGAAAAACCTAAGAGGCAGGACACCAGCAAACCCCATAAAAACCAAACCTCTGAACAGATAGCAGCTGAGCCCTACAGCGATGGTGACTGAGCAGTGAGCAGTGCTCTGCTTAAATAAAGTTGGGCTGTAATTAAATCCACCCCAGAACAAGCTCAATTCCATGATTAGGAAAACAGGGGCAGGTGTGACAAATATTATATCTTATTTATACACAGATTTCGTAACAGGTTAATTTCCAGATCATTTTTGGGAAGGCATATTTTTCAAAACATTAGTCTGATTTTAATATATCTTTCAGCCAGGACTATTATTTTATTTGTCATTGCAGATCATGTGAGGCTTGTGGGTGGAGCTGATCGCTGCTCTGGGAGGCTGGAGGTGAAGTTCAGTCAGTCCTGGGCTACAGTGTGTGATGGTAACTTTGACTGGCAGGATGCTGAGGTTGTCTGTAGGGAGCTGGACTGTGGGGCTCCTTCAGCTCTACACAAGGGGGCCCATTTTGGTGAAGGAGAAGGTCCCATCTGGTATAAAGACTTCAACTGTGAAGGAGAGGAATCCTTCCTACATGAATGTGTCACCTCTGTTAGATCAGAACAGAACTGCACACAGGGCCATGCAGTGGGATTGGTTTGTAGAGGTTAGTTCTTAATGTCTAATTTACATGTTATATTTCAATCTAAAGTTTTCGATGTAACTACTACTCTTACAAGATTTAAGATCCTCTTATTTCAGTATGTATGTCAGTTACTGCCTTGTACTCTGAGAACATATCAGTGTTCCTCAGATGTATCTTAAGTGAAGGTGATTTTTGTTTCACGATTTACTTTTATTTTCTTCAGGTCATAATGATGTGAGATTGATGGATGGAGGCAGTCCTTGTGCTGGAACAGTGCAGGTGTATCTGTGGGGAAAGTGGTGGAACAAAGCACCATACTTCATTAGCTTGTATGATCATCAAATAGCTCTCGCGGTGGCAGGCAAAGAACTGGCCTGTGGACCATTAGAATTCTTTGAAGGACCTGAATATTTTACATATGCTCAAAACAATATATTGACAAGTGAACACATCTGCAATGGATCAGAATCTAAACTCTTCGACTGTAAAATTAGTTTCTTTATCGAAGCTGAAGTACCTACTGTTGATCTGCCTCAGTTCATTTTCACAGGTGGGAATCACATCATGTAATACTGCATCATCGAGCAGCACCACACTTTTTAATCATCTTGGGTATGCGCTTCTCAAAAGAATAGTTGCTAGCTACGTTACGCTAGCTATGTTACGCTAGCTACGTTAGCAACTTACATGCAACCGAATGGGTCCAGCTAATGGGATCTTTTGGGAAACGCACCTCTGATTCCAGCCATCAAAGTTTGGTTTTCCTAATTCCATATAACGGCTTCCACCACTATCTGAGAGTACAGCGTTCCTAAGAAATCTTTCATGTGCATTTCCAGACCCAAAAGATAACAAAATCATACCAAACATGTTCAACCATAATTAACACTCACATAAAGCAAAAGCAGGAAAATGATAAATACACAGTCTATATAAAGTAAAAAAATAAAAAATAGTCAGTAATGCATTGCACTTTAACATTCCCATGGCTACAACGTCGCTATGCGAAAGGAATTTTTCAGTTCCATTATAATTGTGCAAGACAACCGTTCTATAAATGGTCTGTCCTTGATCAAAATGTCGTTATGTGTATATTTATAATGGGCTCACTGATCAGCAATCGCTAAATGCTATTTTTGCTTTTCTCATTTTTTCGTAAACAAAATCCTCTTCGGTTAGCGAAAACAGGTGCTAATGCAGGTCTTTCGTAAAAGCAAAGTATCATCAAGCAAACTTTCATAAAGTGGGGTATATCTGTAATTCCAAAGGCCTACACCAATAATCAATTTTAGCATCCACTTGTCATTTTTACAATTAACTCTATGACCTGTGTTAAGACTCCAGTTTCTCCTAGACTTCCTCTTACACTGGCTGTGCATTAAAGCCACTCTGCAAATATGTGACTGTAAATGTATTTCAGTTATTATAATAACATGGATTCCAAAAACATGTGATTGCCCTTAGAGTGTAACTGTCAGAAGGGATGCATTATATTAGGGATTCAATTCATTAATGAATGTTAGAGTCTGTAATTAAACTGATGAATATATAACTGGATATTTTATACGTAATTCTGTCCTTCCCAATTTCAGGCCATCGGGGGATTCGGCTGATGGGAGGGAGTCACATGTGCTCTGGGAGAGTGGAGATTCAGCACGGAAAAACCTGGGGCTCAGTGTGTGACGATGACTTTGACTGGCAGGACGCTGAGGTGGTCTGTAGATCACTAGGCTGTGGGGAACCTGCACAGCTGCTGGGGGGAGCTGCCTTTGGTCAGGGAGAGGGAGGGGTGTGGTCTGAGGAGTTTCAGTGTCAGGGAAACGAGTCTCATCTTGTTTTCTGTCCCAAAATGACACATAACAGGACCTGCGGCCATGAGAATGATGTGGGCCTGGTGTGTTCTGGTAAGAGTATCATTGCTCTCAGACACCCTCACTCTGTTATTATTATTATTATTTTTATTATTATTATTATCTGAGTGACATTTCAGTGTATCTCATCTTCATTCTTCGCTCTCTCTTCATGCT